AATCGCAAGCCATTTGCTTGCTTCTGGTGGGTGAAATCTTCATTTATTGTGTATTTAGTCTGGCTCATCCTTAAAAAAAATCTGTAGGCCACCTATGGGAATACATACGGCCCAAATCACAAAATACATTTTTAAATTAGAAGAAAAGCCAGGGTGGTGGTGGGCACACCCGGGACCCCGGCTGCTTAGGAGGAGGAGAAGGGCGAGGGGGAGGAGATGGGCCTGGCTTGTAGCTTGGTGGTGGAGCCCTTTCCTGTGTGTGCAAGGCCGAGGCAGTGTTTTTCAAATGGAACCCGGGTTATGGCCTCATCCTTCCGAATGGGGCAAGGTAAGGTTTCTGAGCATGCGTGCCGGTGCTACAGCGGAAGCCAGCGCGCTGCGCGGGGGAGCGCAGGAAAGAGCTGGACCGCGAAGACCAAGCTCCTCCCAAGTGGCACAGCGGCAAAGTGGGGGTGAGGACCAGGACTTCTGCAAGGAAGCTGGGGCAGGGGCGGGGTGCACAGAAGCCTCCCTCACCTTCTTTGTAAGTCCTTTTTGTGCTGAGTCACTCTGGGTGTGTCGTCCCCGCCCTAGGGCAGGGACCCCCATGCCCAGTGTGTGGAATAGAGGAGCGGACCAGCTGAGCTTCGGGACATGTCAGGGTGAGGCAATGTATCGACTACCACAAGCTGTAAATGCAGCGCTCAAAAAGGAGAATCCATCAGTGATAAAGGTGAAAGGTTTTGTGCCCACAAGGGGTGGTTTCACAATTTAAAGTGAAACTGGGGCTGTGACTAACTGGCTGGGCAATGCAGCCCGCGCTGATAACAGGGCTGCTGAAAGTTACATCACCACTTTGAACCAGTGACACACGCGGCTGTTGCTCTCATTAAGTTTGCCGCTGTGAGGACATTGGCCTTTCTGGAAGGAAGTGCCCAGGACAGCATACATCACCCAGGAAAAGAAGCAGGCGCCAGGCCACAGGCCGTGAAGGAAAGCGAGCCTTGCTGCTGTAAGCCAGTGGAAGTGGTGATCTCGAGATAAATTCTCTCTTGGTTTATCTCTGAGAACCCTGGTGTTCAGAAAACACAAAGTCGTGAAGAATAGCCTAAGCGGCGTGTGGAGATCTAATGCAAAAGCCTGGGTAAGGAGAGTACTGGAGGCTGATCCACTGCACAATGGCTTTACAGAAAAGACAGAAATGGACAACCTGAGAGCAGCCTTTAGTTCTGCAAAGGATGAGACCTAGTGAGCCAGAAGCAGGACCCAGCGGGCTGCAGACGCCCAGGGAGGGAGAGGGCGCCGGCGGATTCCTGAAGTTCCCAAGGGAGGGGCCTCCTTCCAACAGCAGCCACCTTGCGCCGCATCCTCCCTTCCTGGAAGCCTTATGTGTCAACTTGAAGGTGAGCACAGTAAGAAATTATTTCAGGTAAACAGGCATGTTTTATAAATTTATAGATGTGGCAGTGGAAAATGAGTCAGGAAATGAGGCTGGCACATTTTACACGCAGTGCCCTCTTGGGTACTTTTCTCTGGGGACTCAGGCTCCTCACGCCAGACCTGGAGTTTCTGTGTTCCCCAGTTTTCCTCAAATCCAGCGCAGGACAGAGCCTCAGAAAATTGGCCGGAGAGGATATGGCCTCCCAGATGCTATCAAAACAACACGGGCACTAAAGGCCAACTTCAGAGCAAGAACAGGCTAGGACAAGCTGCTGGTCATCTCTGCAGGGCACCCGAGGCCACACACGACAGATACCTGCCTCACAGAGAGGTGAGGAGCCAGAAGAGGTGTGCCCAACAGACCCTGGGAGACCCTGGGGACAAGCGGAGGGCAGGCCCAGGACAGAGAGCAGGAAGTCCCCACCCCGCTGGCACTTTCACCTGTCCTTGTGGCCCACACTGTCCACTTCCCATGCCAACTCACAGCTCTCCCTCTTCACGGAGTGTGGGACGTGGCTTACGGCTTTACGGGAAAGTTCACACCCTGAAGGGGTGGCGAGAGCAGTTAGCCAGGAGTTCAACCTTTACCTCTCGGCAGGTTAATCCCACTCCCAGCTCCAGCTCCCGGCTGGGGGCTCCCTCCACGCGGGCTCCACTGGGGGTTAGGATTGGGACTGGAACCCAGGCGGCCTTTCTGAAGGGATCCTTTCCGTTTGCCTGGCCTCAGGCTGGGAGCCGAGTTCCAACATGGAACTAAGGAAGCTGTTGAAACTAAGATTTTATTTTCAAATCCAAGGCAAACCTTCACCAAGCAGCGCTTACAGCCGGGGGATTCTACGGAAGAGAAAGTGTGGCTGCTTGCTGGTTCCCTTTTGCCGCTGGGGGTGGGAAACGAGACTTCCCGGCAGGGCCTGGGTTTCAGGGCCCCTGAGCAAGCTGGGCTCCTGGGGTCCCCAGGAGGCTCCTGAGGCTGTCTGCTTGGCCTTCCCTGTGGCTCTAATCGTGCCCTTGGGCCACAGTGTCTGGTCCCTTGTGTGTCTGCGGCCATCACCCTGACAACACTTGGGAGGACAAAGAGCAAGACCGGTGTCCTCTGGGAGTACCACGCTTCTCGACAAGGCGTCTACAGGAGCAGAGGGGAGAAATGGAGGGGCTGGCTCCTGATTGCTGGGTCTCAGTCTTACTGCGGTCATTCACTCATCTCCAGGGGTCTGGCCACTTCTTACATCTCAGCAGCTGACCACACTGGCAGGGACACCACTGGCTGTGGCCAGAAGAGCAAGACTGGAGTTCAAGGAGCTGAAAAAGGCAGCCTGGACTCAGGGAGAAGAGTCCCTGCTCCTCGGGGTCCCCAGCCTCTTGGCCACTGGAGCCATGCCTCATCCTGGCTTGGAGCCTGCACGCCTGAGGAGCAGCAGGCAGCAGAGCTGTGGGAAGGACAACAGCTCAGCACAGGGCACGGGCGGGGTGGGGTTGACCCTGCCACTCAACAACTACAGGACGGCACAACAGGCTCTGACGGATCGGGGTAGAGCTGGGCGAAGCCCTGGCTTCAGTGGAGCAGGAGCCCCGGGGTGCAGTTGCTGCACTGCTGGCTCCTCAGGGACACCCAGCCAGCCTCCAGGTGGCAACAAGGGGGAGCTGCAGAGTCCACGCTGTGATGTTCCCTGCAGGCCCCACTGGGCGGTGACCTCCCCAAGGCTGTGTGGAGGCAGGGCCCCCCCATGAAGTAATTGTCCCTAATGAGGGCCCCGCTCCTTCCAGTGATAATTAGCAGAGAGGAGTCCCTGTAGGTGGGAAGGTGCTCCCCAGCCCCTGCATCTGTCTGGGGCTCCATCTTGGTGCCTACAGGGGAAGTTGGATGATTAGGATTTAGGACTCTAGGGGCAGAGGCTGCTTTGGGCTTTTGTTATTGGCTGGTTTTTTTACATTTATTTAGTGTGTGTGTGTGTGTGTGTGTGTGTGTGTGTGTGTGGCCAGCTCAGCCCACCAGGGGGCGGGGCTGGCTGGCATGTGGTGCTGGGGATTGAACCGCGGTCCCTGTGCTTTGCTGAGCTTGTTCTAAGTAGGTGCTTTAGACCACTGAGCCATCTCTCCAGCCCCTGTTATTGGCTGTTGATTGGGCTTTTCATTTTAAAAATTAAATCCAGACTCTGGAAACTCAGTGGCTAGAGGCTGGGGTGAGGGGTCCTGCAGTGCCCACCGTGGGGTGTGTGACAGGCTGCTACACGCCAGGCCACCCTCTGCCCAGAAGGCCAGGCCTGCAGCTCCTCAGCTCTGGCCTGAGACCCAGAGGTTTTCTGTGCCCAGGCCGTCGGGCTCCATTTGGGGTCATGCTGGTACCTGGAACCTCCTCTTCAAGGTGGATTCTGTCCCTGACAGAAGGAGACAAAGAGAGACTTCGGCCTGAGGGAACCCAGTCAGGGCCAGAGAGCCCAGGAGCCCCAGCAAGCAGAAGGCGCAGACAGGGACAGGTGCCCTGCCGCTGCACGCGGACACCCACCTAGCAAGAGTGGCCAGCGGCACTGCTACTGGGTTCCAGGTGGAGTGAGGGCTGGGAGGCCTGGGTGTGGCCCTTCCTGGCCAAGATGGTGTCACCCTAAGAGACAGCCAGGCTGCGTGGTGTGGGCAGGGGGCCCACTGGGATCGCTGCGTGGGCATGCCGTGGCTTCCGAGCAGGGCTGGGTGCTCACAGAAACGTGGCAATGGAAAGCCGAAGTCACCAGGCTTTGTGCCGGGCCCGCTGCACTCCGTGTAGTGCCTCCCGACTGCTGTAGTGGGTTACTTAATTTTATTTTTCCTGCGTTCTTGTGGGGGCGGGGACTACATCTTCTGCAGCAGAGGTAGCGAGTGCTTTAAAACACTGCTGAACAACACACAAGCCTGCAGGACGGAGCTGGTGGAGGCTGGCTCCCACTGAACCCAGACTCAGCCGCTGAGCCCTGCTCGAGGCCCCGGCCGGGCCCCTTCCACCTCCAGGTCCCTGCCAGAGTCGGACGACAGTCATGTGTCCCAAACTGTGGGCTGCTGAGCCCTTACTTTATAAATATGATGCACTTTATTTTTTTAAAAAATCCGAAAGGAGGAAATGCTTTGCTCGGCCTCCTTCAGCTACCCAGTTGGAGGCGACAGGTACCACGTGTGAGCAAACTATAGAGCTCGCGCAGGAGCGGGGGACAGCAGGAGGCACCCAGGAAGAAGGCAAACCCAGCGGGCGGGCGTGGGGGTCGCCATCAGGGGAGGCCTGCGGCCCCCGGCCCACCCAGGCCAGCAGGAAGCCCACCCTGGCGTTCTGCAAAGCTTGGGGCCGCAGGAGGAGCTACGGATGGCCGCCAGAGAACATAGAAATACTGCTGACGCTCTTGTGTGCTTAGACCCTGGCGTGGCCTGGCTTGGCTTCACTACGGAAGGAAGGGCAAGAGCTCTGGGAACTCAGAGATGAGCCTTAAGATGTAAAAGACACACACAAATGCTGTCTATCAGCCAGGAACCGGGGAGCCCTCTCGGCACCCTCTCTGCTTCCCAGGCCCCCGCTCTCGGGTCAGCGCGGGCGTCAGGAGGCGCTCGGCACCTGCCCTGGTCTCCAGCCCACTGGTCCGCGAAGTAGCTTGTTCCTCACCGTGAGCACTTGTTCGTGTTCCTTGTTTCTTCTTTTGCCTCCAAACGTGCATTCCTGATAACCAGCTCATCCTCCTCTGTCACTCCACTAAGAACAAGGCTGACAGTGAAGTTATGCTGGTACAGTCAGTGTCCCCTGCCCTCCTGGAGCCCAGGAACTAGGAATTACGGGTCTCCCCGGGAAGTGGCAGAAGCTGAGGGGGCTGGGGCTGGGCCCTGATGAGGGTCACTGTGGGAAAGGGACCTGCCCCCTGCCCAAGTTCTGCTGCTCCATCAGGTAGACTGGGTAGGAGTTAGGGCCCTCCTGGTCCTGCAGGTCGATGTCCTCGGTGTTCCGGGCCAGTGCGCGGTGGCGTGCTGCACTCAGACAGGAGACCTGCAAGGGGACAAGAAAAGAGGGATGAGCCACCTGCCGTGCCGCGTGCTGTCCCCACCTGCGCCCTGCTCTCACTCTGCTCTCTGTCCCCAGAGTCCACCCCAAGCGCCGTCCCGGGCCCAACCCCAGGCCCAGCCCCCTCGGCTTCACACTCTGTCCCCAGTCCCGCCCATGCTGTCCCCACCCTTACGCCTGTCCTTCTTGTGCCTGCAGTGCTTATCCCCAGCCTCCAATTTTCTCTCCTCTGTGCTTTGTCTGGGCTGCCGCCCTCTCCCATTTTCTCTGTTCGCTGTCTCTTCCCCCCATTGCACCCCGTCCCCATCAAGTCCAAGCGCTGCCTCCACCACTCTTTCCGATACACACTGCTTCCTCGCTCGAGTCCTACTCCCTCCTCGGCACCTGTGTCACACACCCATCTCTGTCCCTTACCAAAATCAGACCGATGAACAGGAGCAGGAGAATCACCGCCAGCAGGACCACAACCACTATGGCCCACGCAGGGAAGGAGCCCTGTGTGCCCGTGGCTGCAGCATGGGGGCCCGTCTGGGAATGGCCGCCGGTCTGCTGTGGGTGACTCTTGTTGTCTGGGGCCCCTGATGTGGTGGGGCTCTGGTGCGCTCCAGATGGAGTGGGTAGCAAAGAACCAAGAGGCCCCAGGTGGGTGACCCCGGTTTTCTTTACATGAGGAGAAGTGACAGGGACTGATTTGTCTGCTGTGGCCTTGGCTGTGTGTCTTGTAGTCTCTGCTGTTAGTGGTGCTTCTGCTGTTTTTTCTGGTATTTTTATAGATTGTATGAAGGTTTTTGTGGTTTCAGTGGTCAGTGTGGTCGTCTTTGGGTATTCTACAGAATTTTTGGAAATGCTTGCGGTTTTCTCTGTGGTTGATGTTGTCTCTTCTGGGCGTTCTGTGGACTTTGATATTGTCTTCTTGTGGGCCGATGTTGTCTTTTCTCCATGATCCAGAGACATTGTCTGGGCTTCTGTGGTCTCCTCTGTCCCCTCCTGGGTCAGGGTGGTCTGTCCTCCACGTTCTGGTGGTTCTGTGTGGGCTCCTGTGACCTCATGGACGACCGTGGTCGGTCCTCCATGCTCTGGAGGTGTTGTGTGGGCTCCTGTGACCTCATGGGCTGCCATGGTCTGTCCTCCATGTTCTGGTGGTTCTGAATGGGCTCCCGTGACCTCATGGGCCGCCACAGTCTGTCCTCCATGCTCTGATGGTTCTGTGTGGGCTCCTGTGACCTCATGGACCACCACGGTCTGTCCTCCATGCTCTGGAGGTGTTGTATGGGCTCCTGTGACCTCATGGGCCACCACGGTCTGTCCTCCATGCTCTGGAGGTGTT